TTGCAGAACTAACTTTTTTTCTAGCTAATTAGATTTCAAAAGACAGGCATCCAAAGTCCAGTAAATTAAGAAGTGTCATCTGTCAGGATCTAGGAAATGTGTCTAAAATGTGAATTGATTCATTATCTACCTCTGATAATGTAGGTTCTTCAAATTACAGAAAACATCATTCAGGTTCCATGACATCTTCTAATTTCATAAACTATAAAAATACTACTGTTTTTTTGTTAGAAAACATTATTCTTCTTACCTTCTTTTTGTAGAGATTTTAAGCAATACTTCTCAGAAAAAGCTGCTGGTGACATTTTATCACAGGAAGGTATTTCTTGAAAGATGAAGCTGCAGAATATATCTTAAAAGTTGCCTTTTGTTTAATTCAGATACAGAAAAATGCACCAAGTGTCCAGATGAAAAATATCCAAATGAGGACAGAATTCAGTGTATCCCCAAAGTTATATCCTTCCTTTCTTATGAAGAATATCTGGGAATCATTCTGATCTCTTTTGCCCTATTCTTGTTCTTAGCAACAGGCCTTGTTTTAACCATATTCATTAAACATCTAGAAACTCCCATTGTGAAAGCCAACAACAGAGACCTCTCTTACATCCTCCTGGTCTCCCTCCTACTTTGCTTTTTATCTCCTTTTCTCTTCATTGGGCAACCAAGGGAAGCCACTTGCCTTCTCCGACAAACAGTTTTCAGCATCAACTTCTCAGTTGCCATTTCTTCTCTCTTGGCCAAAACCATCACAGTGGTGCTGGCTTTCCTGGCCACAAAACCAGGAAACCAAGTGAAGAGATGGTTGGGGAAGAGCTTGGCCAACTCCATCATCCTTTCTTGTTCTAGTGCCCAAATTATGATCTGTTCCATCTGGCTTGGAGTTTCTCCCCCATTTCGTGACTCAGACTTTCATTCCCAACCTGGAGAGATCATCCTGCAATGCAATGAAGGCTCTGTTTTCATGTTCTACATCACTCTCGGCTACATGGGCTTCTTGGCTGCCATTTGCTTCACGGTGGCATTCCTGGCCAGGAATCTCCCTGGAGCCTTCAATGAAGCTAAGCTGATTACCTTCAGCATGCTGGTCTTCTGCAATGTCTGGGTCTCCTTCCTACCCACCTACCTGAGCAGCAAGGGGAAATACATGGTGGCTGTGCAGGTCTTCTCCATCTTGGCCTCCAGTGCTGGTCTGCTGGTCTGCATCTTCATCCCCAAGTGCTACATTATCATTCTGAGGCCAGACTTGAATACAAAGGAGCATCTTACAGCCAAAAGAAATGTATAAATGTGAATTAGAGGAATTTCCACTCTCAACACATTCCATCAGACCAAGCATAGATATTGTTAGAAGCTGTCCCCTGTACATAAGCTGGAGTAATAATTTGAGCTGATATAACAAAGTGCAATTGGAAGATTGAACTGTAAAGATTGGATTTTAAATATTGAATTGTAAAGAACTGTAAAGATTGAACTGTAAAGTCATTGAATCAATTATTAACCAATCCATCATCCTCCACTTAGAAACAAACAACCTACTCTCTAATAAGCAATTTGGTTTTAGGAAAAAACTATCATATAATCTGCAACTCTTACAGTGCAAAAACATATGGACTACACAACTCGATCAGGGCAAAGCAATAGACACAATCTACATAGACTTCTGTGAAGCCTTTTATTCAGTGGTACATGACAAACTACTCCTAAAAATAAAATCTTACAGTATCTCTGGACACCTGCATTATTGGATAGAAGCATTCCTGTCAAACAGACAACAAATGGTCAAAATTGGGAGCATCCTACCAAATTCTGTACCTGTCAACAGTGGTGTCCCCCAAGGCAGTGTTCTGGGACCAACTCTCTTCATACTCTACATAAATGACCTCTGTGATCATATCAAGAGCAACAGTGTTCTCTTCGCTGATGATGTAAAGCTATTCAACACCACAGACAATGCTGCTACCCTTCAAAAAGACCTTGACTATGTATTAGAATGGTCAAACAAATGGTAACTTCAAATCTCAACAAATAAATGCTCTGTCCTACATATTGGCAAAAAAAATATCAGAAAATAAAATAAAATACCAACAAGGTCAAGACCTTGTTGATGATCCAAACTCTGTCAAGGATCTTGGAGTACTCATCTCAAATGACCTAAGTGCTAGAGCCCACTGTAACAACATAGCCAAAAAGGCATTAAGAATTGTTAACCTAATCCTACGTAGCTTTTTCTCTGGTAATATCACACTACTAACTAGAGCATACAAAACATTTGCTAGACCAATACTCGAATACAGCTCATCAGTCTGGAACCCACATTACGTATCTGATATTAACACAGTTGAGAAAGTCCAGAAATATTTTCACAAGAAGAGTTCTCCACTCCTCTACTCATGGCAGAATACCTTATGCCACCAGACTCAAAATTCTAGACCTAGAAAACATAGAACTATGCCACCTTCAATCTGATCTAAGTATAGTGTATAAAATCACACATTGCAATGTCCTACCTGTCAATGAATACTTCAGTTTCAGCCATAACAACACTAGAGCAAACAATAGATACAAAATCAAGGTTAATTGCACCAACCTTGATTGCAGAAAATACGACTTCAGCAACAGAGTGGTCAACGTCTGGAATACTCTACCCAACTCTGTAGTTTCTTCCCCAAACCCCCAAAACTTTAACTTCAGACTGTCTACTATTGACCTCACCCCTTTCCTAAGAGGTCTGTAGGGGGCGTGCATAAGCGCACCAATGTGACTACCATCCCTGTCCTATTGTTTCTTTTATTTTTCTTATATGTACCCATTTTATGTATTCATAATTATGTATACACTTATACTGATTATCTTGTAAACAATTGACAAATAAAATAAATAAATAAAATAAATCATCCAACAAAAAACATCCATAGCCAAGAGTCATCAATCATGCTCTCCAATTAGATATTTTCAGACTGTCTACTATTGACCTCACCCCTTTCCTAAGAGGTTTGTAGGGGCGTGCATAAGCACACCAATGTGCCTACCATCCCTGTCCTATTGTTTCTTTTATGTATTTTTTATTTTTCTTATATGTATCCATGTATTCATAACTATGTTTTTACTTATAACTATTATCTTGTAAGCAATTGACAAATAAAAATAACTAAAATAAGATAGTGTCCTCCATCCTTATCCAGTATAATTTCCTCCTTATTCAGTATAATTTCTCGATGTAGATAATCTGGATTACCCATCTGGTCGAATTATGTAAAACTAAAATAAGAGGGGAGCTAAAATTTACGGTTGTATTAGAGTTTTACAAAACAATTCCTAAAGAATTGAATGTCAGGGTTCCAGAAAAACCCAACTCCAATCAAAACTCCAAAACAGGCATTTTCTCAAAGTTTCCTTTTATTAGAATAAATATACTGGCACATCTGGGAAAACCTGAATCTGAGAGTTCCAGGTGTTCCCTTAGTAATTCAAAAGTCAAAACCCAACCCCTGCACCCATCAGTCCATCACAACCATCCCAATTTGAGATATCCTTTCAACCACTCCTCCTCCAGATGCAAGAATAACATGACCTTGGCTGAACAGAAGAATGTTATTATGTCTAACTACCAACACTCTAAAATCCCCCCCCTCCTACTTTTCTAGGCACAGGAATGTATCAGCATGGAAGCTTCTGGTGCTAATATGGTTTCCAAAACTGACTTTGAGAGTATCCATGTTTAAGTGTCTGATAAGTTTAGTGTAAGGGAGAGTGTGGGTTTGGGCATATCCGTGTTCCTCATCTTACTATTTAGCTCTTTCCCAAATTGAAGCGGGGAGAAAGCGCAAAATGTTCAGATCCCTTAAAAAGGCAGCATGGGGGGGGCTCCATTATCCTCTCATCTTGTCTGGTACACAAACCATGAGAATAGAAGTTGAAGGCCATACAGTGGGAAAACTTTCTCACTTTCTCTATTCCTCACTTCAGGATGAAACTGCCTATCCCCTCAGCTCTCTCCTCTCACTCAACCCCCCAGTTCTTCATTCAAAGCTAAGCTGTACATATCAGGTGATAGTTCATTTCCATCTGTTCTCCAGGTAAGAAATGGAATCTCAACAATAAATCACCCAGGTAAACCAGGAACACAGGTCTCCCAACTTCTCCTCAAAGCACTTATCTGTATGGAGAGGGTGTCACACAAATCCTGAGAGATAGGAATGTTAAATGGGACCCATCCCACCACGTATATCCATAGAAGCAGAGAAAGGACCACTATGTATCTCTAAACCAGTTTCTCGGTGGGTCTATCAAGAAATTAGGTCACAACATGCTGTGAGCACCACAACCAGTTCAGCTACAGATTTCTCATCCATTCTTTATTTAATAAACTGTAAAACTTCAAAATATTATTTAGTGTCTTCCATGAATATTGGAGGTCAACAGAGAGGCAAGGAAAATAAAAATTTCTATCCCTTCTATAAGTTATACGGTTGACAGAATGCCACTTTCCTGCCTCTTAGTCAGCTCTCATCCAAAAAAATTATACTTCTAGAACAGTTGGTAATGAAATGTCACTTCAGATGCAAGCAATTTTAAAATTGGCTCCGAATTAGAATTAATATCTGGAGATCTCATACAAAAGAAAATCACAAAGAAGACCTACTCAACATTAGGCAGGATTCAAGGGTGCAGAAGATATCAGAGAGCATTAGAGTTAAGGGTCAAGAACCTAGACTGCCACCAAATTGCATAGCTCTGGTGATCTTCTCTAGCATTCTCTGGAGACCATATGCCAGAATGGCAGACAGCAGAAGTCAGTTGCTGTGTATTGAAGCATCTTCCTCCAGCATCATTTTCTGGACATGTCCTGAGAGGAAGGATGACAACCATTGTAGAAGAGTGTCTCCAGGAATGTGTAATATTTCACAAACATCCTTTTCTCCAGCTGCCCTTCTGTACATGGAGCCCTGGAAGAGGAGACAAGTTATCACTCATAGTAATTATTAAAGTCCCAGGCTTTCAGACAACTACTGCTATTTTTCCAGTGACTGTCTTTGATACAACATCAAACTGAAGCAACATGGAATGGATCTTGCATCAGAAAAAGATGTAAGCCTCTACTCATGCTGAATGGTTTGCACAAGATTTAAGACACAGGCTGGAGCTGTGATGCTTAATGTACGTTTCCCTCTTTTCTAGATGAAGCTCAATTTGTTTTTGTTTGGAAAAGGAAAGCTCCTGGATATTCCATTTTCTGAGGTTGCTTTGAAATCATTGAACTTTTCTCTGGAAACAGGCTATTGATTCAGTTCCATGAATTATGGAGCTCCTGCTTCTGCTTTTGATGCTATAGGTGTCCCAGACAGTCTCTGGGAGCTTAGAATGAAGTGCCCACTGAATATGGTGCACCTGGATAGAGAAAGACCATGGAGCTACTACAGGCCAGGAGATCATCTCATCAGTGTAGTCACCAGTGCAGTAACACTAAAGCAGGAAGTGTTTTTCAACCTGCTTGTGATTCAGTGTGATGAAATTGTATTTCTTCCATCTGAAGTTCTAACACTCTCATTCTTTTTTCCTTAATCTGCTTACTCCTATATTTCAGTAAGTGATTAATTTTATTGATTGATCAGATTTTTGTGGGTTTCCTCTTTTGTCTTATTTAGAGGAAGAAACACAAGTAGAAAGATGGAGCAGAAAAAAATACTTGAAAGATGCCCAAATTATTTTCCTCTCCACATCCAATCTAAAATGCATGACTTGAATGCTGACTTTTGTTTAAAGTAGTGATAGTCACTTATGAAATATTCTCTTTCTTTTATGATGGTTGTACTTTAAAACAGGAATTATTTTTCAGAGTTCACCAGGATTCAGGGTTCATCAGTGGGCTGATTAAAATTACTGCTGCTATAAATAATAGATTTTTTGTGACTCTTATCTGCTTCCCATTTTCTCAACATTTACAATTATTAAATGACTATCATGAGTGACTATCATTTCCCTCTGATTTTTTTACCTGTATTGGCTTCAGACTCAATAGTCATGTGTTAATAAAGAAGTTGAAATTGAGCAAAAGATATTGTATGACTTATGTTGATGATGCTTGTATTAACGCATTGAAGCATTTTTTTATAGTACTGCACCCTATGCTTACAAAGGAATAGCACACTTTATTTTCACTATTCAAGAGATCAACAAGAATATCCAGCTCTTGTGCAATCTTACACTTGGCTACAACATCCATGACAACTATTTGAACACACTTGGCACTTCAGAAGTCTTGCTGGACATGCAAATGTTCCCAAC